CAGGTCTGTCGGAAAAACAGTGTCTGAATTCAGACACTGTTTTTCCGACACCTGTTCTTCACCTGAGGACGGCTGCTTGCGTTGTGGCCGAAACGTCGTGAGAATTTTTTTATTATGTTTTATTTTTATTATTTTATTTCCCTTCTACGTGACTTTACCGAAAGAACCAAGAAGATGAATCCCTGCAGTCACGAAAGCTTTACATCGAAAAGGGCCCTTCAAGTCTATGAAGTAGGTGGACTCGGCTATGTCCCCAATGTTACGTAACATTACATTTGATTTTGCATTGAATGCTGTGCTTTCCAGCACAGACGAGAACAAATGTTTATATTAAGGTTTTAACTGCCATGTGATTATTGTTCCTTCTCTGTAGCAGGGTGTATGTTGAAATGTAGTGCGTCTAAAGTTTTCACATGAAGACATCTCAAATGTAGTTCTGTCATATCTCCTTCCGCAGGCCGTCAATAATACCCCAGGAACAAAAGTCACAAGGTGTGCCATGCATCCGTCGTAAGTAAAAGATAATCCGTGCTTTCCCGTGACTGCAACACCTCGAGGCCAGCGGTTCCGGTGAGGAGCCAGAAGGCACCTTGACTCCACGTCAGGGATTCATCTTCTTGGTTCTTTCGGTAAAGTCACGTAGAAGGGAAGTAATAAAATAATAAAAATAAAACATAATAAAATAATTCTCACGACGTTTCGGCCACGACGCAAGCAGCCGTTATTACTTCCCTTCCACGTGACTTTACCGAAAGAACATGAATCCCTGCAGTCACGAAAGCTTTAAATCTAAAATTTTCCACGTCAGGGAGTTAAACTCCACGATGGGACCGATTGAAGCGGCACAGCTTGGCAACGTCGCAGCGATTTCTTTTCAGACGGACGCCGCGCTTGGCTTTTGGCACTTGCCGGCCGGTCTCCCGTGATCCGTGGCGAGCTCCACTGGGCCGTGGCGTGCATCCCGCACGCAGTTTCCCATGCGCGAGTCGTTCATTTGCATTGTTCACATTTACACATTCATTAGTTTCCGAGCTCCAGTTGTTTGTTCCATTTTAATATAAATCTGCAAGGTCATATAGAAGTGAAAACATTGGCAGCCCATCGCGCTGTCCGCTCCCCGAGGGTACAATGCGATGGGCTTGCCAATGTTTTTCTAATCGTAAAAGCGGTTACATAACCTATATAATTTGGTATATTTTTTTACTCATATTTTAAAACCGAATATTAACTTAAAGTTCAAAGTAAAGTTACCCTATAGGAAGAGGTTCTATTTGGAAGCAATTTCCAAGCCGAATTGTCAGCTAAAGACTGGCGCAAGCCCAGAGTGCTCTCCTGCTCGACTGGTCGTTACCGTCAGTTCCCCTCGATCAAGACTCGAACTCGTGACCTCGTGATCGCCAGCCAGCCGCTTGCCTTCATCGCTGACGCCAATCGGAAGTGCCAAATGAGGCGTTCGCGTTGCCCATGAATTGTTACCAAAAAAAAACGCGCTCTCCTTTCCAGGGTCACAGTGACCCTTCTGGAGTTTGATCTGCCACAGACGGCTATAGAGTTGCAAATATGCGTCCCGCCAGCGGTGAAGATCTATAAATTTCCCACTGAGCCCATCCGGACGCGGCATAACTGAAATTCCGAACCGCATTCCTCCGCGTGTCACTCGCTTCGGGCCCGCACGCATTAGACCGATGCCACGCGGTCCACTGCAGCCGGCAATGCCCTCTCGCCCGCGTTGGGCAACGCGAAGTTGCCCGCTCTGCGTGTATCCGGCCACGTGGCTCAGCGGCAGAGCGAAGAGCCGCGCGCGATCGGAAGGCTGCGGCGTTCAAATTGATTCAGCCCATTAGCCCGCAAGGGTCGATACAAAAAAATTGGTACCACTTTGTGGGGGGAAGTCAACCTGAGGTTGTCCTATGGAAAGACGTGGGAATGTGGAACTTCCACGAGTGGTTTGGGGCTGAGACGACGCTCTTTTGCGCAGGAAATCACTTTCTATTGCCTCAGCGCTGCTGGTGCCAGCTGGACAGGGCACCTCGGGTGCTCAAGTCGGATGTTTGAGGCTCGTGGCTCACACGCCTTCACGGGGGTAACGCACGTTACCGCCACCTTGAGCCGCCAGCGTGGACGTGCAGGCGGCACGCTGCACTCCAGCGATCCAGAGGCCGACGGGTTGGTTTCGATCTCCCGGCGCGGCAGCTGAAACGACGGGGAAGTGTCTTAGACAGCGCGCCCCAACCTCACCCCGCCGACCACCGCGTCCACCCAACAGTCGCTCGGCAAGTCGTCTTAAGTGGGGTAAAGTGTTGGGCACCTTCCATACATGCCTCCACAAGCTTGGTGAGCGCAGAAGAATAGGTTGATGGACAGCACCCTCGAGAGGGTGCTGCCTTGTGTCTTTCTTTTGATGCCCTACCCCCGCGCACCTCCGATTGTTGGCTACATACGGCGCGAAAGAAGTTAAACATACATATCTAGAGGAGCTCCCTCTACCGGGCGCCCTTCTGCCAGCAGTTGCGCTTTTGAGCAATTGCAGAACCGCGCCTTGCAATGCCGACTGGGTTTACGTTTTACCTGATCCAGGGCCGCAGGTAACCGTTCACTAGAGCTGTGGATCCGTGGGCTTGGAGGCCGCGTGTGCCAGGCCGCAAAGGGCTTAGCACCGACTTCATGTTTCACTTTTGGTGCTATACGTCCTGCCACCCCCAAATCCCGCTTCGTTCACGTCGAGGAGATAAGGCCGCGTTTTATTTTATTTTCAAAATAATAACGTTCGTACCGTCGACGGCCAGCCGTCAAAAGTGTCACATTCTCACGGCAGCTGCAGTGGGACGGCAGTCGCAGGCCTGCGGGCCTCGCTAATTGCCACGGCAGACGGGGAGGATCAATCGGTGGCGGGTGGCAGCAGCTTCAGGTGACACGCGTGCGAGTTCGCAAGGCTGCGGATTAGCGCCCCGGTTACAAAAAGTCGCTGTTGGTCGTTATTAGGAAGCCACGGTGGAGCGCGTACGGATAGCTCCTTGTCCTTCAGCAATGACAACAGCAGGTAGCACGTGAACCCAGTGGGTATTGCAAGGTGCGGTTCTGCAATTGCGCCTCCGATGAGCGCGCGTTGGCTACGTGCGGTGCGCAAGAAGTCCCACATACGCATATACACACACACACGGGTCGTCTATTCGTCTCGTCCTTGAGGCCCCGAGGCAGCCGCGTGTGAAATCCCACCGAGGGTACCAAGGCCGACGCGTCGTGTCGACGCGAATGTTGATTTTCGTCCAGATTTGTTTTTTTTGTGTGTGCAGCGGAATTGCGACGACTCCACTTCCGACGAACGACGCGAGATTCGTTCGCCAAGGTCGTGATGTTTGTGTTTGAAACTCTGAAATGGATTCGACTCGGTTGGTTTGTGCCTCTGACGCAGCCGTCACGTCGTGTGGTTGCCTCTCTCTCTGTGTGTGTGAACGTGGCCGCGGGAGTGGTGCCCAACACACCATCGTATAAAGCCCCTGGCCTTAATAGGTGCTCGCTAACAGCACTTGATCGGGCGTTATAAGTGGAGGATTTTTTTTACGCGTGAATATTTAAAGTTGTTCGGCAGTGTAACTAGCAATGATTGTGATAATCCTCACTCCATATCAAAGAGGACCTCTCCCCTGCAAGTCAACATCGCCGTCTGCTGGTAACTGGAAGGAAGAACACGTGGATTCAGGGACAAAGACCCCACGTGTCGCTTATAACATACTGTTGGGGCAAATGCCGTGAGCGAGCACCTATGAAGGCCGGCACGGCTTTTGTCTCCCCAGTGGCGATGTTTACACACCGCACCAGGTACTCTTTTTAGGCTGAGTCAGTCTAGGGGAGGCCCAGCACTGGTTCAGATAATCGTCGCTGGTGTTAGCCGTGAGCGGTAATCGAACTCTGGTAGCTGGGTGCGTAGCGCAGCGTAGCGCTAACCGCTACACCACCGCTCTCACACAGCTGGCGTTCACTACGTGGCGGTGATATCACCAAGGCGCCTGTGCCAGGCTATGTGCACCTTGAGGCCACGTGAAGTGTCGAATGCTCGCTGACAGGAGGTCACGGGGCAGACCCAGATGCCACAGGTCGACTGACTGAGACGACTGGCTGATGCACCACCTGTGCCCCCTACTGTGCTAACTTGCTGTGGTTTAGCCACTCGGCGCTCCGCTCGTTCTTGTGAGCGTCGCTCCTCCGCCCTCCGTTGTTGTTGGAGGGCGACTGCCTCCAACTGCCCAGTAGCGTCCTTCACGAGCCTCCTCCGCAGAGGCCGATCTTTACACCGCTGGTACCAGTCATCGGCAAGTCCACTCAGCTCCACGTCCTCCTGTACCACATCACTCCATCTCTTCTCTAGCCCGTGCCGCGCCCTTTTAGCTTCCTCGATCCGGCCGAACAAAAGCTGTTTAGGCATGCGGTGGCTGGGCATGCGGGCTGCATGACCCAGCCAACGCAGCCTTGCCTGCCGGAGGAGCTCACCGATGGGACTTTGCCCAGATCTTTCAAGGATTTGTGAGCTCCTCACACAATCCAGCCTGGTTAAACCCAGGATAGATCGTAGGCAGGCCAGCCTAAATGTTTCTAACCGGCGAAGATGTTCCATTAGAGGTGTCCATGTTTCGCAAGCGTAGAGAAGGGAGGGAATGACCGTGGCCGAGCAGACCACACAGTAACAACCGCCATTCGCCACTAAGTGGCGGTGACGTCACCACAGCGCTTGTGCCAGGCTATGTTCACGTTAAGGCCACGTGAAGTGTCGAACGCCCGCAGGCAGGAGGTGACGGGACAGACCCAGGTGCCATGAGATGACTGGCCGGTGCACTACCTGGGCCCCACACTCTGCCAACACAGGCACGCACACACGTACAAAGATTCCCCGCATAACCGTTATGCAGAGTGCTGTTAGCGAGCACGTACACACAAGCACACACGTGCATCAATCAACATCGACCGTTACAGGGTAAAACAAATGGGTTTGGGCAGGACACGTGCCGGAAGGGACGTTGATGGCCTAGGGATGCGACTTGGTGATGGAATGGAAGCCAAAGGGGGGTTTACGTGCCCGAAAGGAGATGGAGCGATGAGATCAGGTGATGCGCGGATGATGGATCGTGGCATCGCAGCCCCCGTGAGAAAGTGGCGGCGGCACGTCGGGAGCGTTCGTGCGACACGCACCGGTCCTTGATCAAGGGCGAGGCACCGAGTACACGTGGAACGTTGGGTCAACGTTGGTGTGACGGTTCCAACCGCTGGACAACGTTGACCCAACGTTGAGCCAACGTTGTGGACATGTTTGCCCACGCAGCTAATTGATGTGAAATGGCGAGCATCAGAATAGATGCGTTTTCATCATAACACGGTGCACGAAATGGGCTCACGTGACTGCCAACCGCTAGAGGCCGCTACGCTGATTATTGAATTGATATGTGGCCCGGAATCGAATCCGCCGTATCGGCCGGTGTTTTTTGAGTGTGTAGAAATTCCTCTTCTCGACTGCAGGTGGCAATGCAAACCCACTCGAAATGTTCGGATCTATCGCCACGCTGCACAAGATACCAGTGTGTACATTCACAGGAAATATTGGTAGATTCTTGTCATTGTGAATGTTTGACAAATATCGTCTGTATTCTCAAACCCCCCCCGGCCCCCACAAGTATTTGTAAAACGGGCAACATTTATGGCCACCCATGCACTAATTTGGATTGTAACGCCACAAACATTATTTATTACTTCCATATCGACACGCTTTTTAAATGGACGTGTTTCTTGAAGGGTTCACAGACGTAGTTCTATAATAGCTGCTTCCACGGACCATTCTCTAACACACCGAGGTGATACACGGCTCTGTGAGAGTTCCAAATACTCCTCATCTCGTGATGTCGACAGGACACTGAGCAAAATTGTGAAAACATAACAAAGATTTTGTTGGTTGGGGCAAGTGCTGTTAGCGTGTTATTGAGCACATATTAGAGCCAGTACTGCATGAATGGGGGGGGGGGGCAATACAACGCCCGGCCGGCCGCCTTTGTCTCCCCAATGCTGATGTTTACACACCGCACTAGAAACCCATTTACGGCTGAATCAACCTACAGGAGGCGTTGTACCGGTTCAAATATTCGCCACTGTTATCGCTCGTGAGCAGGAATCGAACTCATGTCGCCGGACCGGTAGCTCGGTGCATTTGGCACTCGTCTCCCTGGGGAAGCGGTGGTGTAAGCGGTTCGAGTGAGCAACTTAATTATCGTGCATCCACTTACACAGCCAGTGTCCGCGCCCTGGTCACCTTACCCATCAGGGTTCATGACTTAACGCTCGTGTGGAAAGGTCTTCGTCTGAGCCCCGTATCCCACACTGCACCTGCCACTGCCTTTACAGACGGAGGTGGCAGTCTGCCACGGGTTGTCCACGCGTGGCATCTCGTGTTCTCGTCAATAGACAACATGCTAACGTTGCGGCAACAGTTGGCATGTGGTTGGAACCGCTGGGATCAACGTTGGCCCAATGTTCCACGCGTATTGCCAATAAGTGATGTTTTATTCCAGCGTCTGAATTCGAGCTGATATTTGATGCACCCGAATCGTACCTCGGGGGTGCCTTGAGCTGCTTGGGGCCCCTACGCTTGCTCCTCGGGGGTTGCTGATGCCCCCGATTGCCCACGCGGCGTTCCTCGGTGCGCTCCAGATGCTCCAGCACGCGGCAGAGGCTCCCTTAGTGGCCTGGCCGACCGGGTTGTGCTCTACCTAATGGCCTGTGTGCTATTTCTGTGAGCGATGTAATTGCAAATTGTAATAGACCTTAGGGGTGCGGGGGGGGGGTCGGGGGAGGGAGCTGAGCGGTAGACGGATGAGTAAACTGGTTTTCATGCAACACAAATAACTGAACAAATTAGTCAATAACCCGGCCTAAATATATATCGGCGACGTTTCAAACAATGGCCCATATTCATTGCAGAGACGTCGACACACCCATTATTCGTTGTTGTGCGTGGAGCTTCATGGGTAAACTCAATTATGAACATCACTGCAATGTGTCTCCACGTAAACATTCTAAATGTGTTAGTCCGTCGCCCGACGAATCCTGGACCAGTCACAACCAAGCTCCATTTGTCCACGCAGGCAAACTGAACGGGCCGCTTGATGACACGGCTCTGGAAAACCGATGGGCACAAGTGACAAACAGCGCCGTCTATTTACATTCACAGACACAGAGCGGAGTTTGAAAAACAATAGAGATATTATATCACGATCTCTCTATTTGCTTTGAAGAAGGTTCAAGTGCCCGAAACGTCCGCCTAATGTTGTTGTTTTCCTTTTTTTTACGGAGAGTTTGTCTTATTGACGGCGTAGAATTTTTGTTATCATCGCGACCGTCGTATAGGCAACTGTTGTATAGGCAACCGCCGTGTAGGCAACCGTTGTATGCCACCGTTGTGTAGGCAACCGTTGTATAGGCAACCGTTGTGTAGGCAACCGTTGTGTAAGCAACCGTTGTATGCCACCGTTGTGTAGGCAACCGTCGTATAGGCAACCGTCGTATAGGCAACCGTCACATAGGCAACCGTTGTGTGCCACCGTTGTGTAGGCAACCGTCGTATAGGCAACCGTTGCATAGGCAACCGTTGTATAGGCAACAGTTGTATGCCACCGTTGTGTAGGCAACCGTCGTATAGGCAACCGTTGCATAGGCAACCGTCGTATGCCACCGTTGTATAGGCAACCGTTGTATAGGCAACCGTCGTATAGGCAACCGCGTACCGATCGTACTCTGCGCGCGCTGCCTTAATGAAGGGGCTTGGTTATAAACTGAGAGGTTTTTTTTGTTGACAAGTCGTGCTGCGTAAAAAAAAAACAAGCCGTTAGCGCGTGCAGCGGTCGATTTCTTACATGCGAGTGCCTGATGAGATCTCTATGATAATTCGATTGCCGTACTCTGCGCATTACTACAAAAAACTATCCGGGAAATAAGTTCTACAGATCTGGCCACCCCCACACAAAGACAAAGATCCCCCGTATATCCTTAACTGAGCGTTGGGACAAGTACTGTTAGCGAGCACCTATTAAGGCCGAAACGGTACACGAGACTGTGGGTGGCCAGCACCAAGCCTGACCCCCCCCCCCCACACACTACCGGATTATAAGACGTACCTGAAACTTTCGCGTTTAAATCCAGGGTCAGAGTGAGTCTTATAATCGAAGGAATGCGGCGCTGTTTGAACGCTGATGACTGTCATCACCATTATTGATGGTGCTTATATTATTATTCACGCCGATTAGTAACGAGGTTGTGCAGCAGAGACCTCCCCCCCCCCCCCCAGGGTTTCCAGACTGATTGGGCTTCTCTGTGGCTCTTCAGCGCTCATTCACTCGAGCTAATTAACTCAGGCCCGGCCTGGGCCACATGGCTCCGGTTAATTCCGTCTGCCTGGAGATGACCAGGTCCTATCACGAAGGCGAATTTAATTAGGCTCCCAACAATTGGGCCCCCCCCCCCAACCAACACCTCTTCTCCCCTCCCACCTATTCTTTTGTTCTTTCGGTAAAGTCACATAGATATAACAATAAAAATTAAGTGAATACAAATAATGAAAATAAAAAAAACACGGATGTAGACTGTAGCCTGGTTCTTAACCTGAGTGAGTGCACTGACAGTCTATAATGTAGACTTATTCTGGTTCTTTCAGTAATAAAAATAAAATAAGAATAAAAAACCCATTACGTTTCGATCGCAACACAAGCGGTCGTCATCAAGAAAAGGGGGGTTAGCCTCTAAAGGCAAGCTGTTTATAAAGGTTTAGAGATGGGCATAGCCCAAGTGTGTCAGAAGCATGGGCGGGGCAGCTGATGTTAATGTTGGAGAAAACAACGTCAACGCAGCAGGTCTACACCAATAAAAGGGCCGCCAGGCAATCATTTGCACCTCGCTCCACACACCCACATTGCTGATGGTGGAGGTTGACAAGAAAACACAAATCAAGTCATGACCCAAAGTGGTTGATGACATCTTTCCAATGATTGCTGAGCTTATAACCATCCTCTCGGTTGAAATTGTGTCTGTATATATGGATAGCTTCATGAACGAATCTTTGTTGATAGCCAGTAGGCTTGCAAAGTACCATCGTCTTAGAGAAATCAATTTCGTGTGAGCCAGCTGCATTAAAATAATGATCAGCCACGGCAGAAGTATTGGTCTTACCGTGTTTCAAATCTGCCTTATGCTCACAAACACGGTCCGAGACATGTCGCTTAGTATCCTCAATGTAACTGCTGCCGCAGATACAGCTTAGTTTGTAAACGCCAGGATATTGCATGTCAGGAATCTTGTCCTTCATAGATGGGATCAGATCATGGATTTTATATACTGTGTTAAATCGGATCTGGATCTTGTGTTTGTTCATGATTTTGGAAATATTTTTGGTTATCCCTATGTATGGCAAGGTGATAGTTTTGATTGGATCCTCAGATGGCTCCTTTTCTACGGTTGGGGTGATGGATTTGCAGATTGTGTAGTCAGAACATCCATTCGCCTTAAGAGCTTGGTGTACGTGTTTGAGTTTACTGGTTAGGTGTTCATGGTCGGAGATACATTGAGCTCTATGGTGTAGCGTTTTTATGAGGGAATTCTTCTGGAATGGATGGTGGTGGGAATCAGGTTTTAGGTAGGCGTCAGTGTGGGTTACTTTCCTGTCGACAGAATAGCTCATTGAGCCATCTGGTCTCTTTTTGATTAGGACATCCAAGAATGGTAACATGCCATCCTTTTCTACTTCCATGGCGAATTTGATGGCTGGGTGTATGGAATTGATGTGGTTGAGGAATTGGTTCAGAGCTGGTCGACCATGTGGCCAGATGACAAACGTGTCATCCACGTACCTCTTCCACAAGGACGGGCGTAGTGTGGATGCTTGGATGGCGTCTGTCTCAAATTTTTCCATGAAAATGTTGGCTACAACCGGAGATAAGGGAGAACCCATTGGGGTGCTTTTAGTTTGTTTGCAGAATGTTCCATTCCAGGTGAAGTATGTATTGGTTAGGCAATGTCTCACCAGGGCTGATAAATCAGCATTCAGTCCTTGTTGGACCACATTTTCAATGATTGCAATAGTATCAGGCACAGGGACTTTGGTGAACAAATAAACTACATCGCAACTAACGAGCAAATCACCTGGGGGCATTGAGATGTCTTTAATTGGCGATACCAGGTAAGTTGAGTTAGGAACAGAAGAGGTGGTCTTATCAGTGAACGGCTGCAAGGTCTCAGACAGATACCGGGCAGTTTGTAGGTGGGTGAGCCAATGGTGGAGATGATGAGGGACGAAGGGGTGTACCTTCTTTATGGATTTTTGGTAAGCCATATAGTTTGGGTGGTCTAGCAGCAGGAGGTTTTAAGGAAAACCGTTTGGTCTGTTCAATTAATGAAGCTGAATCAGTGATTATAATGTTCGTTTTTGTAACGAGGCTGTTGGTGGGATCTCTTTAAATTTTTGTGTAGCTACCATCATTAAGTAGGTCCTGAATTTTGTTATTGTACAGGTTTTTGTCCATGATGACTGTGGCATTGCCCTTGCTGGTGTTGCTGGCTGGTATCTTAGCGCTTTTGAGGATTGCAGCGATTTCAGATCTTGTCACGTCTGCAGCGATGTGTCCCAAACTCTTAAGAGCTACATCGACCTGGGCAATAATATCATCCACTGGTATGTGTTTGGGGGTGACTGCGAAGTTCAACCCTTTAGCCAAAACCGACTTTAGACCATCGGAAATTGGGCTATTATTCAGATTAATAACAACCTTGTCAACGTCTAACTTTTTAACACATGGTTTCTTCTTGGAAAGGAGGTTAAACTTGGAAATCGAGTTATCTTTACATTTAGTTGACATTGTAGCGGCTGATAAAGCAGTAATGTTATCTACATCTTCCCCATCAGATGTAAACATTTTTTTATGTCAATGTTAAATGTGATTTCAAGAGTGTCTTGTCCACATGATCTAGTTCAGTACGGAGCAGTCTAATTCTCTCTGAGATCAGGGGCAAGCTAGCCCTGAACAACATTCTTTGGTGATAGGTTTTTACCCTTTCAACTGGTACAAAAACTGACACCTTTATACAAGGCATCATGTTTGCAATAACTACAACACAAGCAGTCAAAATGAAAAAAAAGAAACAACTCTGATAATGATATGCACTGTCCTTGAAGTTGATTGGTCCACACCCGAGACAGCTTTTCTTAGAGCCTAGTCTCCACTTGCGTTGGAGCAGATGACGCCAAAAGGCGTACAACTCAAAAAACAGCGCACTATCAGAGTATTGAGAGCTCGGGGTAAGCATTTACACTATGAGACCTCATTTACCAGTGGCAAAATATAGTAATAGGTTTTTACGCTTTAAACATTCTGTGGCATTGGAAGATGTGATGGCAGCAGAAGTCAGTGTACATGAGGTCGGTATACCACCTGTAATCACCCAGGAATGTCCTTAACGCTCGTGACGTCACTCCATATCGACCAGCCCCCCTCATTGATATTCATGAGCAGGTGACGTCCTCCAAATGGACACCCCCCCCTCCATTATTATTACCGACCATAATGAGCCAAGAATATCTGTGCATCGCTCGTGACGTCACTCCACGTCGATAAGCCCCCCTCATTAATAATCATGAACAGGTAACGTCACTCCACATGTAGCACCCTCCCCCATCGTTAATAATAATGAGCATTGTGACGTCACTCCACATGGACCCCCCCTCTCATTAATAATCATGAGCAGGTGACGTAACTCCACATGGACACCCCCCTCATTAATAATAATGAGCAGGTGGCGTAACTCCACATCGAACAGCCCCCTTCATTAATAATCATTATAAGGTGACGTCCTCCAAATGGACACCCCTTCACCATTAATATTAATTAGCGGCTGACGTCACTCCACATGGGGGGGGCGAGGCGCCTCCTCCCCTCTCCTCGGCGTCAACTCACAACCCTCACTACAAAGGCAGAACCCTCACGTCATCACGTGATCTCTGTGACGCTGTTGAGACATCGAAGTAAAAAGGACGTCATCATGAACAAGGGATTATAACCTTAAAATGCAATAAGTCCGCGTCACCGCGGCCTTACAAAATGCACACGAATTGATGCAATGAATATCACGTCGCGGTCTGATTTTCGCTTGCAAGTTTCAGAGTTACTGCAATACACCTGTCCTTGGATGGGAAAAAGGCTCTGTTACCTTAGAGTCGGGCATCTCTTAAGAAATGTGACTCGATCAGATGAGCTTTCTTTCCTCGGAGTTTGTTCAAAGGGTCTTATGGCTACGTGGAAACCCTCCCCGTAGAGGCGGTTCAAGTTTGACTGAAAACTTCCGTGACCGGCAGGAATTAATATTCCTTGGTTCTGCCTGTGATGAGCGTGGTGGAACTGGAGGTAGCGAGACCAGGTGAGAGCGAGACCAGCGAAGCGAAGGGGCGGCAAGTCGTCGTGATTACGAGGCGAGCGTGAGGAGGTCTCGTCAGGATACCGAGGCAATGTGTGGGTGAGCGAGAGAGAGAGAGATAGGAGTTGGGTGGCGGTGAGTGTGTGGCGAGCGAGCCAGCGGCCGGGATGAAATGGGGAGACTCGAGGTCTGGTTTCGGCGGGGGAGATGGGGTGGGGGGTTCAGTTTAATGGGGGAAAGGGTTCACACAGCCGCGACTCGCACTCCGTGACACAGCCGAGATCGCGACGCGAGGGGGTCTCCCGGGGTTCAAGGGTCAGGGTCTTAGGGTGTTTGTAGGATTCAATATTTCACGGCGTTCGGGTTTTCTCGCAGGGTTCAGGGGTTCATTGGTTCCGATTCGAGCGCTTTGTTAAATTCGTGCGCGGTGTTGGACATCATCGGTGTGGCAGTCGAGGTCGTCAGGGTTGTGAGTGGATCGACAGGAACACGAAAGAAACTTTAACCTCACAGCCTGGCATTTTTTTTTTACCACCGCTTTGCCCGCTCACCCACCCACCACAGCCTACTCCCTCATCCCAGCCTTCCCCACTCACCCACCCACCACAGCCTTCCCCATCCACCACAGCGTTCCCCGCCCACCACAGCGTTCCTCACTCACCCACCCACCACAGCCTACTCCCTCATCCCAGCCTTCCCCACTCACCCACCCACCACAGCCTTCCCCACTCACCACAGCGTTCCCCGCCCACCACAGCCTTCCTCACTCACCCACCCACCACAGCCTCCGCCCTCATCCCAGCCTTCCCCACTCACCCACCCACCACAGCCTTCCCCACCCACCACAGCCTTCCCCACTCACCACAGCGTTCCCCGCCCACCACTGCCTTCCTCACTCACCCACCACAGCCTCCGCCCTCATCCCAGCCTTCCCCACCCACCACAGCGTTCCCCACCCACCATAGCCTTCCTCACCTACCACAGCCTTCCCCACTCACCACAGCCTCCGCCCTCATCCCAGCCTTCCTCACCTACCACAGCCTTCCCCACCCACCACAGCCTTCCCCACCCACCACAGCCTTCCCCACCCACCACAGCCTTCCCCACCCACCACAGCCTTCCCCACTCACCACAGCCTTCCCATTGTTCAATTCGGCGAGACCACCGATATTTGTACTCATATGCTTAAGAGTTATACCAATAAGTTGGTGGCACAGAAATCAGCGAGTGGCACCGCTGGGCTCGGTTTAAAATAGGGTTGTTAAAATTTGTTTTGTTGCATAACCGGTAACCGCATGTGAGGAGGGGGGGGGGGTAGAAACCGGTTAAAACCGGTTAAAACCGGTTACCGATTTTGCCGTGCATTTAGCGATGTAACGGTCGGTAGCAGCACATTGGAAGTTGCCATCCAGAAGTCGCCGGTTCGAATCTATCTCTCGGCGCGGCAGTCGAACCATTGGTGCAGGGTTTCTCAAATCTCCACCCACCCGCCCACCTCCCGTCATCCAGCAGTAGAAACGGGTTCGCCGCAGTGGATGTGCGGTGGGGTAAAGTGTGGGGGTACGGCCATCTCTTCCAAGACAACCGGTTGAGAGTAGAGTCGTAGACCAAATAGCCTCTTGCCAGAAGAAAGCAATTTCAGGGGCTGCACCTTTACCTTGAAAACTGGAGAAACGAAGGGCGAATGCACCAGGCGGTGACTTAGGCTGCGGTGCTGTTTGTACGCACACGTGTGCCAAATCGGTGCATTCATTACCCACATTCCAATGACAACGGTTAGCGGTTCATGACCTTCCGGAACCGGTGACCGATTATGAAAACGGTTACCGGTTCACCGGTGGCCCTTAAACAACCCTAAGTGTGGACCGTGACTCGTGGGAGCGAACGTAATTGAATGGAGTGGTCGCGGTTTTTTTCACTGATCAAAACCGCTTGCCCAACAGAAGACTCTGAACGTTTCCTGTCACACGGTCGATTTAAATACTTCCCTCCTCCTCTTCCTCCAAATCCGCTGTACAAAAAAAGGTGAAATTTCTGTTTGTTTCTGCTTCGTTTGGTGCCTTCTGCAGATCTGGGTTCTCGGTCGCAGACCGAGTGTGCCACGCAGTGGGGGGGTGATCTGAGAGCAGATGGCACGCGTGCATTGTAACCCAACGCGACCGACGACTCCACCCTGGTGCCGTTGTTAGGTGCCTTGTGAAATCAGTCTCGATGAGGGCCGCCCAGAGTTTACGGAGGGGAGCGCTGTTGGGAAGGGGAAAGAAGGGGGGTGGGGGGGGGGTAATTCGCCCACTTAACAGGACCCCCAAAAGGGACCTGTTTCTTTTGTTGCTAAGGAATAAGGCCCCCCCCCCCCCCGCCCATGTGGCATCTAACCCGGCCTCCAGGAACCTCTGGGCAACCGTGGTACTGACATCGTGGCAGGGCAAGCCGATCGGCAGTGCAAAGGTTACTCGATAGGGTTCCGAGTAGGCTCGTTTGCATCGACAAGCGAAGTTTGCCTGTGTAGAAAGGGCTTTGGGGATCTAAATCGATCAGACGGAACAACATATTGACAGGACCTTGAATTGAAAAAAACGCACTCAATATCAAGACAAATATTTATACATCCTTAATACATTGAATATACAGGGTGTTTGAAAAAGATGGACCCGATTTGAAATCGCTATTTCTCTGCAACCACGAACCGCCCATGAATGAAACTCTTACCACTTGAAAGGGCGGGGCATAGAGAGGGCGGGGCATATAGTTTCAAATGATCACCGCTCGATGCCTCTCCCAGCGCACAAACAGCCCCTAGCCTCAGTCATTCGCAAGATGGCGACCCCGCAACACAAGGCGTTTTGCGTTCTGAAGTTCAGCAAGACTGAATCCGTAATTGCGGTGCAGCGCGTGTTTCACCGGCGTTGTGGCATTGATCTGCCAATGTCAAAGAGCATTCCTCGTTGGTACCGACACTAATCTGGATGACCTCAAAAACAGAATCACGGCAGCGGGGACTTCAGTGGAAGAAGACACTTTGAGAGGCGTTTGGGACGAATTCAACTATCGTCTCGATGTTGTCCGTACAGCAGGTGGCGGTCACATAGAGCATTTATAAAATGGTTCGTAAACCTTGATAACTCATTAAACCGTTTGTAACTTTCTGTGTAATTGTAACATGTTGCCATCGTGAAATATACTGCTTTGAAACTGGGCCCATGTTTTAGCAAAAACACACTGTATATAGTTTTTAACATATATAGAGCCATGAAAATCACACGTGACCGGCTGATCGACTAACTGTGGGGAAACACTTTTATACTGCTGGGTGGGCAGAGGCGGAGAGGAGTTTGGAGGGGGAGTGGTGGATTTAGAAACTTGCACCATTGTTTCGACCCTATGTCCTCTGAATTGCAAGTCCGGTTGTGGCCGACCACTACACCGCTGGGCGGAAGCTCCCATTCTTTCGATAAATCACTCAACGCTCGCTTGACCAGTGGTGCACCTCATCCTGCTCCTCGTTGGAAACACCCAGCGAGGGGAAATACTGCGGCAAACGGGGGACCCCGGCTCCAGGGGGAGTCAAGAAGAGCTGCAATGCCTTAAAATCCACACCCTGACAAATGACCCTGGGAAGCCGAGCAGTGACAGATTCACACACCCAATAAATACAGTCTGTGCAACCAGGAGCTTATTTTCACACAATTCGACAACAACAACAGTCAATAAGAGAATAATAATAATACACGTGGACTCCCAGGAAATGCTCCGATACAAAGTGAAAACTCGGTCGCCTCGGTAGACATGCTTCTTCGCCGCCGGACGCAGGCCGTTCCCCTGTTCCGCGGCGCCGCTGTGTCGAGGGATTTGCGTTCAAAGTTCTTGTTATTATTTTAAAAACGACAACGCTTTCCACTCGGACGAGAGACAGGACAAACGCTCGCGCGGTCCCAGGTATCGACACGCACTGGGGGGCGGCGGCGGGAAGGGGGTCTGGGGTCGGGGGTCAAATCCACGACGACGACCGCCCCCCACGACCCCCAACACACGCACACAGCGACAGTCGTAGTTGTCCTGCGGCCACGCTCAGACGTGCGCGTGTATTTATAGGTATGTACGTATATACATGTATCTGTTATTATATATATATATACGTATGTTTATATATACTGAATATATATTTCTAATTCATTAATTTAATACATGTTTTTCTCCCCCCAACCCACCCACCCCCCCTCCCGCGCAGACCCGAGTGACACTGACGATGGATGTGGGGACGCGATGGATCAAACGGGACGAGATGGGGGGGGGGAGCTGGCAGAGACCTCGAGAGACATCAACAACAACAACAATAACGGTGGTGGCCACAACAACAGCAACAACAACATAAATAAAGTAACATCCCTGAGAAAAATGATTTCCAACGCCCACACTCCCACGTGTAACGCACATGCCCCCCTCCCATGGCTTTTATATCACACAGCCGAGTGGACTGCAGTCCTCACGGACCCACACGCACGCACGCCAGCACCACACGGGTCGACCCGCACATGCATGGTGCATTCCTACGGGACGTGACGAGGATTGGTCTCTTAGGGTGGCTCTCGCGCTCACACGTATGGGAATTGTTCATGCTCACGACAATGTGTAAATAATGCACAAAGTTTAAACTGACTCGCGTTTGGTGGACTGCCTCTGAACGAACGAGTTGGCGAGTGAGTGAGCTGCCGTTGGCGGTGCGCGAGAGCGCGCGAGCCTCGCACGGCGGAGCGGTGGCACAAGGTGCAGACGACGTTTGCTCGTCGCGCTCCGCGGAGCCACTCCGCTCCCGCAGCGATCGTGGACGTCTGAACTCTTGGATCTGGGAATCTGCGCTGATCCCCCCAAAACTTCTTTAATCGCACGTTGACCGCCGGCGTCCGCTGGTCGGTCTTACACGGCTGGCGTGGTAAGCGGGCCTTGTTCGCGTCGCACGTAATAGTCTGTGGAACGTCCGCACTTAATGGGGGGGGGGGGGGGGGGGAATCCCAACTAAAATTAAAACGAGGGAAAAAAATCTAATAAGCAGGTGATTTGAAGCTGTGGTAAAACAAGAGGTGTACACCGCTTGCATGCAGGGCTTAATTGTAGCCGGGTCTGTCCGGGTCAGGTCGGCAACCTGGATCATTATTTCTGCATCCGGCACACCACGTCCAGTATATATATATATATATGCCATCTTCCTGGTCTACCAGCGACCCGGAAAATATACGGTGAGAAATTAAGCCCTGGCCTGAAGTGGTAGATGAGAAATGTAATTCAGTGCTCGGGCCAATGACGCAGCGGCTCAACGTTCCACCACCGGTGAATGTCCACCTGCTGACCCTTCCCACCACTGAGGCTCTACCCACGAATAGGGGTGGCGGCGGACTTGAATCTGCCGTGTGTGGAATGCGCAGTTCCCGTACTGCGGCATCCCGGGGAAGGGCCGCTCGACGAGACATGGCGCGAGGTACGGAACGGGACGGACGGGTCGGCGTCCTCGTGTCTGCGCCAGGCGCTTCGTCTCGCCCACTGTACGAGTCCGCACAGGGACGGAGCATCGAGGACGACTCTCTGCCGTGGTGGAATTGCCAAGTCGGAACATTTTGTGGCCCTGTCCACATTTTTTCCCCATCGCGAATGAATGTTCTCTCCTCCCGGAATTTATTTTTTTATTTTTTTTGTAATCTTTCTTTGCATGTAGGTCCACTTTCAACTAAAACACCTTGACTTTAAGCCCACTTTTCAAAACTCGTGAAACTTTGCTTTAGTAATAGCTTTACTTGTTTTATCCCATCTGCTCGGTCCTAACTTTGTCCCAAACATTTTGACACCAGCACTGCGTGGTGCGTTCTCTCCTTTGGCTGTAATTCAAACACGGGTCTCATCCATCGCCCATCATCCCTTCTCGTGAAGCATCCAGCCCCAGCCCACTTACTCGCCTCAGCGGTCAATATCATGCCTCTATTTCATAATATATTCTTCGATCCACGTGCTCCTCTTCCTGTCAGTGTCAATTAAAAGCGCACATCTGTCCAACACTTCTCTTCATCTGAAGTGCCGCCATCTCGGTCGATGCACGCCGCGTATGATCTCTGTCCTGGCAACCCGTCTGTCACCTACGGTCCGTCTCCGCGTGGCCTCCAAACAGACCGCCTGGGCGCTAAAACACAAAGTCCTCGTAGAGATGCATCCCACACATTTGCTCCATGGCTGCAAGACGCCGTGACACGACTATGTCTCTCGCGTTGCAGGGAACTGGACTCTCTGCCTCATCTCGCCACCACCCGCTCCCCCCCCCCCCCCCCGCGGCTGGGCGTTGGCGTAGTCAAGTGCCCGATGCACGAAGCCCGCCCTACAAAGCCTCCTCTTGCGTGGGTGCGAGCCTCGGGAGGTCTACGTGTGGGGAGCAGGTTTCTGGGAGGCGGAAGAGGGGTAGTTAAATAAATAAATGCATTTTAAATCCCTGGTGGCATGGGCTCAGGAATTAAACGCCCCCTTCCCCCCTTCCTCCCCCACCCCCCACCCACCTAGTCCAATTTACCCCCCATGTTTGTAGCCCTGCAATTGGGCCCCTCCAGCCTATGAGCCCTGGGGCAGTTACATGGCCTGCAAACTTTGCTACGTCTCACTATTTGAAACGGCAACGCATGGAGGTGGGAACCATTGAGAGTTGAGAAGGGGGGCTGGTGGCCGGGCCGAATAAAGAGGAGTGTGCCCCCCGCCTCCCCCCCAATCCCCCAGCCAACATCCTTGTCACACGCGAACATCGGTCAGATTCGGACGTGGGAGTGCAACGGGGATGGACTTTGACGAGGCTTGTGTTTAAAACGAGATGCGAAGGAACGCCGCGCGGGGAGACAGCGCTAAATACATAACGGCATGCCGCGTCTTCATGCAGGTGCCTTCTCGAACTCGCAATAATTTACTGACTAAATGCCTCTACAGTGTTTCCTTTTTTTCTTCTTTTTCCTTAATCAAAATATACAAGAACCGTTTCGGGTAAAACGATGGAAATTCAGCAGCATACGGGACACACGAGACGAGCATTCAGAGCCACCTATATTACCCCCAACACGTCTCCCCCCCCACCCCGCCCCTCACCCTCCCCACCCTCCACCTCCGCACTCAGAAAAATATAAAACATAGAAAAAGAGTCGGTTGCCCGTAAAACAATACGCGCTACTCATGCAGATGGGCGCGAGGGGGGCGACGGACGGGAAGGCGCCGGAACCCCCGCACGCAGGGGCCGCCACTTCCATCGGACGCTCCAGTCCAGTCGTTCATGCAGCTGCGGACGGTGGTTTCAGCGTCGAGCCGTTAACTCATCGTCCGCATTTTCACCCTCTGTTCATGCGAGCGGTCGCAGCCTGGTAGAGCGTCCCTGCGTGTAAAAAGCCTCTCGCCGGCGTCAGATCGTCAGAGCCCTGTTGCGTCGTGATGGGGAATACTGTCGTCAGAAGGGCCGGTTTCACTTTTCGCTGCCGCCGCCGCCGCTTTGTTCAAACGACGGAGATGTGGCAGTAGGCCTCGAGGCCCGAGATGATGATATAGATGAGCCACAGCGAGAAGAAGAGCAGGCTGGTGAGCAGCTTGGAGCCACGCGGGCCCCCCAGCTCCCCGCCGATGCTGGGCTGGCGCCGGTACATGAGCACGGCGACGGTGATGAAGGCAAAGATGGTGAAGAGCGTGACGGAGAAGGCGAGCGTGCCCGCTTCGACGCGGAACTTCTCGCCCTGCGTCCACCAGTAGATGGCCGCCACGGACCACGCCAGACCGATGCCCAGGAACACGTTGACGCCGTTGCTGCCCGTCACGTTGCCGATCGAAGCGTCTGCGTACTGGTCCTGGATGGCCGCCACCTTGCTGGCGAACGTGTCTGTGGGGGGCACGGTGGGGGGGGGCAGGGAGAGGTACGGATGAGAAATGAGTCGCATTAGCAGTGCAAGTGGCTCAATGCCAAGGATTTTCTGTTGAGGTCGGAGAGAGCTGCTGCCATTGCAAAATGCTTCCAGACGTTTAGAGTGGGACAGGTGAGATGCCACTCGACGATATTTTACTGCTATAAATTCCCACATGATGAACTAACTTCGTTGATCAATCATGTTTGGCCAGGTTGCTTCTGAAAAGCAAGCTAATAGCTCAGTGGGCTTTTCCTGGTAAGATAAAAACACGTTTAGTTTAATTGAAAAATGTTTTTAAGTTGTTTGCTCACCTATCCTTTACTTTACACTTTGATCGTGGTTTTGTATTGTTGGTTATTGTAACGTTCTGACCTGCCCCTACTGGACATCTGTGAAACAAAGCTTTATAGCTTATCGGATTCCTCCCGTATATATAAATATTCTCATCTGAAACTCCAGCCCAGCACCTGGGCCCGTCTAGCCGCTTGCACACTCAAGTGTCGAATTGTATCGACCGCTGTCTACCCACGACCCAGGAACAAAAACAACATTCGGTGACGAAATTAAATCCCCCTCGAGCGCGACTCACCAGGCACGGAGGTGCCGAGCGCCACAAAAACGACCGCGGTCACCGAGTCCTTGAGCCCCACGGTGCAGCCAAAGTGCGAGGCGAGGTCACCGATGACGGCGGTGAGGATGCCGATGACGCAGATGGAGACGATGAAGCAGGCCCAGCCGTTCATGTACTCGGTGGGCGGCACGCACGCGAACAGCACCTTCCAGAAGACCGTGAGGAAGTGCATGATGTAGTCGCAGCAAGAAGGCATGCGCTCCTCCGCCCCCTCCTCGTCGTCGTCGTCACCTGGAAACGGGAGAGATGATGGCGGACGATCGGACCTGGCCCGGGCCGGGACGATCCAGCGTGGCTCGAAGACTTAAGGCTCCCAAACGTCTGGGGTGTGTGTCTCTCACGAGGGTTTGCTGCTGCCTGGACTACCTGAGCAGTGGGCGGCGCCAAAATCTGAGCCAGCCAGTAGGAGGAGGAGGCCGTTTTCTGCACGAGCATTGCTAAAGATTTAGTGGGCGTGGTCATGTAAAAGTGGGCGGGGCTGATGGAGGGAGGGGCTTCCGGCTCCCCACGTGCCCCCGGTTGAGCCTCCCAGAAATTTGGTAGCTTTGTGGAAGCTGTGATTGCTGACGACGGCAGTGCGACCGAAAACCCCACGCATGTGCTAGATATGCGACAGCCCATCGCACCGCCCCTGTCCTGCCGATTTTTAATGAATTGTTGCGATTCCCGGTCGTAAATTGTAAGTAATCTATTAATCATATTTTTTCCATCTAATACCACACGAACCCGACACGGAACGTGTTGAGTAGTTGCCAACGCAGCAGCATCACCAAATAACTTCACTTTCGGGGGGGGGGGGGGGGGGGGGGGCACACGAAGGCGTTCTCACCTGCGCTGACGGTGATGGCCTCTACAAACTGCTCCCGCCACGAGTTGGTGCCCACCACCAGAGCCAAGTTTGTCTTCTTGATCAGCTTGTCCACCGTGCTCTACAAGGTTTGTTTTGGGGGGAGAATGGGGAAGGGGGGGCGGGGTGCAGGATACAGAATTTCTTGAGGCATATCCGACTTTTAATGTAAGAGGTGGCCAGGAGATGGCAGTAGAGCGATGAATTAAGAATCCGTCTGGGCTGCGCTTCGAGTGCTGTACCCTTGTACGTTTGGTCGATGTTCATCGGTTTCCTGCTGCACGGAGCCAAATGCTCAATAAGTGAATTGGCCAAACATCCCAATGTAGCAGGACCTTCCTGTGAAGGTATTGAGACTTGGTGAAGCTCTACTGGATAAACAAATAAGCATTATTATCATCCTGGTTGTTTACCCAGGAAAGTCTCAAGACTAATTTTCAGGAAGGTCCTGCCAAGTGTTTACAGTAGGGGGGAGATGTTGTTGCTCTGTGTAATTGAGTAATTTGCGGGTACCTTTTCAGCATTGGGATGTTTGGCCAATAGCAGGTGAATGGTATGTGTGTTTTTTTAGCGATTGTAAATGTGTAAATTACAAATGCATAGGGGGGGGGGTGTTGAGGTAAATCAGGGGTGTAAATATGAACTGCCCTGCCCTGGTGATTCTATACAGTTTCGCAATTCAGAATTGCGATTCGATTGAAGAATGATTTATTTTTGTTTATATCGCGTGAACGGTAACGGCCTCTAGTGTCTTGCAGGGGTCACGTGAACCCATCACGTACACGAATCAAGACGAAAACGTCGATCCTTGCTCGCGGTTCGTCGCGTGCTTCGTGAGCCCTAAAGAATCGATATTGTGGACGGAGCAGAAGCTGCTTCGCTTGGCGTCTACATTGTTCGCCAATTTTAACTGATTGTCGAGCTGGCCATTGTGGATCTTCCCCCAGCATCTCACGAGCACCGGGGTGCGACGACGCGTCGATCCGCTGGGGACTGTGTGTGGTGAAGTGTGTGGTGCCTGAGGTATGTGGTGCGTGAAGTGTGTGGTGACGGTGTGTGGTGAGTGAGGTGTGTGGTGAGTGAGGTGTGTGGTGTGTGAAGTGTGTGGTGAGTGAGGTGTGTGGTGAGTGAGGTGTGTGGTGAGAGAGGTGTGTGGTGAGTGAGGTGTGTGGTGAGTGAGGTGTGTGGTGTGTGAAGTGTGTGGTGAGTGAGGTGTGTGGTGAGAGAGGTGTGTGGTGAGTGAGGTGTGTGGTGTGTGAAGTGTGTGGTGAGTGAGGTGTGTGGTGAGAGAGGTGTGTGGTGAGTGAGGTGTGTGGTGAGAGAGGTGTGTGGTGCGTGAAGTGTGTGGTGAGTGAGGTGTGTGGTGAGTGAGGTGTGTGGTGTGTGAAGTGTGTGGTGAGTGAGGTGTGTGGTGAGAGAGGTGTGTGGTGAGTGAGGTGTGTGGTGAGTGAGGTGTGTGGTGTGTGAAGTGTGTGGTGAGTGAGGTGTGTGGTGAGAGAGGTGTGTGGTGAGTGAGGTGTGTGGTGTGTGAAGTGTGTGGTGAGTGAGGTGTGTGGTGAGAGAGGTGTGTGGTGAGTGAGGTGTGTGGTGAGAGAGGTGTGTGGTGCGTGAAGTGTGTGGTGAGTGAGGTGTGTGGTGAGTGAGGTGTGTGGTGTGTGAAGTGTGTGGTGAGTGAGGTGTGTGGTGAGTGAGGTGTGTGGTGAGAGAGGTGTGTGGTGAGTGAGGTGTGTGGTGTGTGAAGTGTGTGGTGAGTGAGGTGTGTGGTGAGTGAGGTGTGTGGTGAGTGAGGTGTGTGGTGTGTGAAGTGTGTGGTGAGTGAGGTGTGTGGTGAGAGAGGTGTGTGGTGAGTGAGGTGTGTGGTGTGTGAAATGTGTGGTGAGTGAGGTGTGTGGTGAGAGAGGTGTGTGGTGAGTGAGGTGTGTGGTGAGAGAGGTGTGTGGTGCGTGAGGTGTGTGGTGAGTGAGGTGTGTGGTGAGAGAGGTGTGTGGTGTGTGAAGTGTGTGGTGAGTGAGGTGTGTGGTGAGAGAGGTGTGTGGTGTGTGAAGTGTGTGGTGAGTGAGGTGTGTGGTGAGAGAGGTGTGTGGTGAGTGAGGTGTGTGGTGTGTGAAGCGTGTGGTGAGTGAGGTGTGTGGTGAGAGAAGTGTGTGGTGAGTGAGGTGTGTGGTGAGAGAGGTGTGTGGTGAGAGAGGTGTGTGGTGAGTGAGGTGTGTGGTGTGTGAAGTGTGTGGTGAGTGAGGTGTGTGGTGAGAGAGGTGTGTGGTGAGTGAGGTGTGTGGTGTGTGAAGTGTGTGGTGAGTGAGGTGTGTGGTGAGAGAGGTGTGTGGTGAGAGAGGTGTGTGGTGAGTGAGGTGTGTGGTGTGTGAAGTGTGTGGTGAGTGAGGTGTGTGGTGAGAGAGGTGTGTGGTGAGAGAGGTGTGTGGTGAGTGAGGTGTGTGGTGAGAGAGGTGTGTGGTGAGTGAGGTGTGTGGTGAGAGAGGTGTGTGGTGCGTGAAGTGTGTGGTGAGTGAGGTGTGTGGTGCGTGAAGTGTGTCGTGAGTGAGGTGTGTGGTGAGTAAGGTGTGTGGTGAGTGAGGTGTGTGGTGAGTGAAGTGTGTGGTGAGTGAGGTGTGTGGTGCGTGAGGTGTGTGGTGAGTGAGGTGTGTGGTGCGTGAAGTGTGTGGTGAGTGAGGTGTGTGGTGCGTGAGGTGTGTGGTGAGAGAGGTGTGTGGTGAGTGAGGTGTGTGGTGAGAGAGGTGTGTGGTGCGTGAAGTGTGTGGTGCGTGAGGTGTGTGGTGAGTGAGGTGTGTGGTGCGTGAAGTGTGTGGTGAGTGAGGTGTGTGGTGCGTGAGGTGTGTGGTGAGAGAGGTGTGTGGTGAGTGAGGTGTGTGGTGAGAGAGGTGTGTGGTGCGTGAAGTGTGTGGTGCGTGAGGTGTGTGGTGCGTAAAGTGTGTGGTGCGTGAAGTGTGTGGTGCGGGAGGTGTGTGGTGAGTGAGGTGTGTGGTGCGTGAAGTGTGTGGTGAGTGAGGTGTGTGGTGCGTGAGGTGTGTGGTGAGAGAGGTGTGTGGTGAGTGAGGTGTGTGGTGAGAGAGGTGTGTGGTGCGTGAAGTGTGTGGTGCGTGAGGTGTGTGGTGCGTAAAGTGTGTGGTGCGTGAGGTGTGTGGTGCGTAAAGTGTGTGGTGCGAGAGGTGTGTGGTGCGTGAGGTGTGTGGTGAGAGAGGTGTGTGGTGAGTGAGGTGTGTGGTGAGAGAGGTGTGTGGTGCGTGAAGTGTGTGGTGCGTGAGGTGTGTGGTGCGTGAGGTGTGTGGTGAGTGAGGTGTGTGGTGCGTGAAGTGTGTGGTGAGTGAGGTGTGTGGTGCGTGAGGTGTGTGGTGAGAGAGGTGTGTGGTGCGTGAAGTGTGTGGTGCGTGAGGTGTGTGGTGCGTAAAGTGTGTGGTGCGTGAAGTGTGTGGTGCGTGAGGTGTGTGGTGAGTGAGGTGTGTGGTGCGTGAAGTGTGTGGTGAGTGAGGTGTGTGGTGCGTGAGGTGTGTGGTGAGAGAGGTGTGTGGTGAGTGAGGTGTGTGGTGAGAGAGGTGTGTGGTGCGTGAAGTGTGTGGTGCGTGAGGTGTGTGGTGCGTAAAGTGTGTGGTGCGTGAGGTGTGTGGTGCGTAAAGTGTGTGGTGCGAGAGGTGTGTGGTGCGTGAGGTGTGTGGTTAGTGAGGTGTGTGGTGAGTGAGGGGTGTGGGTTTTGGTGTATTGTAGGAGTGCGGCGATGGCGTTGTGTGGAGGAGTGTATGTGGTGCCGGGGTGGTGTGCGGTGTGTGGTGAGCATGCCGCCGTGCATTAACACGCCAGCACTCCGCATGATTAGAGGCATTACTTCATTTTTCTCGTGAACATGGCAGGCCATTTCTCACTCGCAGTCACGGCCGCTCGATGTGGAGGTGGAGATGGCTGCCAAAACAATTAATTTAGGGACAATACCGATGATTAGTCCTTCGCTCAGCAGCGATGCCGGGGGTGGGCGCGGGTTTGAACTCGCATTATCAAGCATCGGTGTGGCGACGCTGGCGGCGGAGGCTGCACGCTGCCGTGCCCACGCGTTATAGCCGGGCCCCTGTGCAGCAGCAACAGCAGTAGTCGCGCACCGTCTTGTACGACGGGAGCCGCGGGGATCGTGTGTGTGTGTCGGGGTTGCGCCAAGGAAGAAGCGTGGTGATCGAGGTGGTCCACGGTGTGGAGGCGGTTCAGCCTCGCGGATCGGGCCGTGTTGGTGAGACAGGAGACGCGTGTGGGAAGAGAGATTTTTGGGCCCCCTCTGATGACGTGAATCGCACCTTCGATGGGGATAGCACGAGGATGGCGATGGTGGTGGTGCTGGAATGATGACGAGGTGAATTAGGATGACGTTGGTGGGATTATAGCTGCTGGGATAGGGATGATGATGATGGTGGTGGTGGTTATGTCGGTGGATATGGACATTGATTGTGGAGGATTGGGACACATGGAAACTTTATTTATAAAGCGTGTGTATGCAATTGGATGATGATGATGATGGAGGTGACGATCGCAGTGATGGTCATGCTAGAGAACACGAAGCGGTCGAAGAGATGGCAACATGACGGGGTAGGCTGCGATGACGACAACAATGACGACGACGATGACGACGATGAGGACACCAAGGAGGCACCTTAAACTCGTAGGACTCCTCGATGACGACCTCGAGGCGGTGCGGCTCCCCCAGCATGGGTTTCCCCAGCGCCGCAATCCTCCGCGCCTCCTCCTCCTCTTTGGTGAGCAGCAGGCCCTCGGGGCCGTCTGCGGGGGTCACCAGGGGTCGTTACGTAGAGCAGGTTGCGCTCGGTAGGGGGGGGGGGGTCGGGGTGGGAGAGGGCGGGGGGAGATGGAGGGGGGGGGTCTCACCCCTTGCACTCCCGGCGCCGCTAGCCAGGCTTGGGTGCCGCACACGCCGTCGGCGATGGATTTCAACTTGCCGATGTTGTCAGCGGGCCACGTTCAAGGCCACGTTCACACGCCGTGGACAGCCCCCCTCCCTTTCCCCCTTACCCCCCGTTCCGGTTTCAAATACCGCGCGATGCGCCCCGATCCAGTTTCAAATTGAGAGTTTTTTAAAAAGTAAACGGCGGGAGAGGTGGGCGTATCTGCTCGGAGGGCAGCGGCCGACTCGGGGGAGCAGATGTGTCTACGCGCGACGGGGAATGCCGCTTGCGCACGACCGCTTCTGGGTCACGGAAATGTAATTTGCTCACGGTGGGTCGTGAGTCGCCGTGTTTGGAGAAATCCTTTAAATCTGGTTTTACGTGAACCTTTTAGCCAAATCTGGTCAGCCCACGACCAAATCGCCCTGAATGCACCCGATCATAGTCACCCTCCACCTTGCCCGGTCCTCAACCACGCATATCAGCTGGTTGTGATTTACAGCTCGGATTCCCAACATAGCGGACTGGGTGAAAGAGGTTCAAACGCAGCCATTTAACGCCATCGATCCGAGTCTGAATGTTTGGAGAACGCCGGAGGAGGCTGACGACGAGGGGGTAACCGCTCTCCGGGGCTGCTCACGGAGCTCAGCCAGAACCTCGCAGCTGAGGTCACCATGACCTTCGCTCGGCCCCTGCCACTCCACGCTGTCGCCACCACTGTCGCCGCCGCCGCCGTCGACAAAAGAATGCATGAAAGCGTGGAGTGTTAATTCATAGCGAGCGCGGGCAGTTTGTCACAGGCGTTTAATTTGCTAAAAGCGGGGTGGGGGGAGGGGGTCCTGTGGCGGCGGGGTGTGGGATCGTAACGAGACGGCGCTCCGGGTGGGGCGCACCGTGTGCCGCTGCCGCGAGCCACTTAATTCGATTACCGCCTGCGGTGACGGCCACGCCGGCGGCTGTGGGGGTTTGTGCGAGCGACACACGGGATCGATGGTAAATCACACGCCGCGTCTGGCGCGCGCGCGCACGCGAGTGTTGCCGCACGAGCCGCGTCTGAACTCTGACCCCGGGAGAACCGTATTTCGTGAGTTGGGGCTGACGGCGTGAAAGAGCAGACACGCAACTTTTGTGAGTGCGACCGCTTTTGGATGTGAACTCGCATCTTGAGTGCTCCGAGAAAAAATGTATACCGGACAATATTCGGTGAGAAATGCCTTCCCGGCCGAACTTCTAGCCACGTAACGAACAGGCCCACAAAGCGTAACGCGGGTAAGTCGCACAGGGTGGCTGTGCAAATCGCCGCGCGTTGGCACCGCCGTAGACGAGTGACGTGCATACACGGGGGGAAATCTTGGGAGTAATTAAACACATCTGTAATTGCGCGCGTAATGGGGGCCGTTGTTGACAGCTGCGGTTTTTCCATCACGGTGGTTCCCTCCTCCTGTTGGCAGCTCTGGTGGCAGCACGCCTCCCGGGTCTGGCTCGGTGGAGCGTTAAAGCGCCAATACGCTCTCGCGTGTGTCGTATCACCACGACGTGCCCTCCGAAACTAACCTCATTAGGACGTTGCGTGTTAAATGAACACGTAAATGCCATTTACTTATCGGCCCGGTGTCTCAGCGGGAGTGCGGGCGGCTTGCAGTCGGAGGGGTTGCGAGTTAAACTCGCGGTTGGCCGTTGATTCAGGCCATCGCTTTGGCTTTTATTTATGTGGCACCATTTTAAAGAGAGTCCTGCATTGAGATGTTTGGTCAGTTTTTTTTTTATAATGACTGGTTTTGCATCACGTGGGAGGAAACCGCAAGGCCCTGAGAAACCCCAAACTTTGCGAAGGACAAAGCGCAGCGGTCTCCAGTCTGCAGAGCAATGCCGGCTCCTCACCTCCACCGGCCTGACACTGCCATGAAACAATGTCGTGTCACGGACAGATGCGCAAAATTATCCCGTCCAGTCTGCCTTAGGGGGGAAGGGTTAGCGGATCCCAGACTCGCTGAGCTGTGACGTGGGCGGATGGTGGATCCATGAACCCGTCTTTGAGTATGACACTTGTACGCGAAGCGAGGCATTGGCGTGTACACCCTCATTTAACCGGACGCCACTGCCTGCTGGATGCCGGCAGTGGCGTCGCTTGGCGGGGAGGATGGGTACCCCGCAGGGGGGAGGGTGGGGGATTGAACGGTAATTCGAGATTATCAGCTAGAAGAACAGCAACAAACGAATTATTATCGGTATCATAATTATCTGCGTGCAAGCCAATTGAAATCGTAACGTCCGCAGACGTAAAATGGGGCCCTTGATTTTGGCGTGAAATTGCCACCGTAGCTCCGTTAACCATAACGACCCGTCGGAATCGAGAGGCGAGGTTCAAACGGATCGCCTGGCTGCGCTCGGAATGCAACCACGCGTGCAACAAGCAACCACAACGAGCAACCGCAAGGAGTGTTCGCGATCGGGCCGGGCCGACTCAGCCGCGGCGACGAGAGCGAGCGGCGGGTGTGCGCGCGCGGTCTCTATCAGAGACCACGCCACGCGCAGTCGGTGCCGTCGCCCGTCTCCGCTCGCCTCCATCCATCTCATTCCGAGCGGTTGTCAGTAACGTCCTTCACCCTCGCCCGTTCGTTTTTCCCGGAATCTGTGTTCGAGCGCATCCGGGCCTCAACGAATGGTAATAGAATTAAATCTTGACCTTAAGCTTTCGTGACTGCAGGAATTCATACTCTTTGGGTCTTTCAGCAAAGTCACACAGATAGAAAAAAAAATCATGCCGTTTCAATTGCAACACGAGCAATCATCTTCAGGTGAAAAAATACAGCAGGGAAGACCACTTCAGCTGTACTTAATTCAGCTCACTTGGTATCTCTAATTAAAGATATCTCACTATCTCTAGGTGATTTGATTGGCAGTTTCGATGTAGTTTCTTTGTTTACCAAAGTTCCTGTGCCTGACACCATTGCAATCATTGAAGATTTGGTGCAACAAGGACTGAATGCTGATGTACCGGCCCTGGTGAGATACTGCCTCACCAATACATACTTCACCTGGAATGGTAGATTATACAAACAAGTTGAAGGTACCCCAATGGGTTCTCCCTTATCTCCAGTGGTAGCCAATGTTTTCATGGAAAATTTAGAGACAGATTCCATCCAGGCATCCATCCTACATCCTTCCTTGTGGAAGAGATACGTAGATGACACATCCACATGGCCTGCCAGCTCTGAACCAATTCTTCAACCACATACATTCCATACACCCAGCCATCAAATTCACCATGGAGGTGGAAAAGGATGGCACGTTACCATTCTTGGATGTTTTAATCGAAAAGAGACCAGATGGCTCATTGGGACACTCTATCTACAGGAAAGCCACCCACACGGATGCCTATCTAAAACCTGACTCCCACCACCATCCAGACCAGAAAAATTCCCTCATCAAAACTCTACACCACAGGGCTCTTTGCATTTCCGACCATCACCACCTAGCCAGTGAACTGGATCACGTACACCAAGCCCTTAAGATGAATGGATATTCGGATTGCACAATCCGTAAAGCTATCACCCCAACCGTTGGGAAAGAACCATCTGAGGACCCAATCAAAACCATCACCTTGCCATACATAGCAGGGGTCACCAAAAATATTTCCAAAATCATGAGCAAACACAAGATCCAGCTTCGATTCAACACAGTACATAAAATTCGTGATCTGATCCCATCTGTGAAGGATGTGATCCCTGACATGCAATACCCTGGTGTCTACAAACGAAGCTGTGCTTGTGGCAGCAGTTGCATTGGAGAAACCAAGTGACGTGTTCGTGAACACAAGGCGGATCTGAAACACGGTAGGACTAATACCTCTGCCATGGCTGATCATTGTTTTAATGCTGTGGACACACATGGAATTGATTTCTCCAAGACCAAGATGCTATACAAACCTACTGGCTATCAACAAAGATGTGTTCATGAAGCCATCCAGATATATAAACACGGACACAATTTCAACCGAGAAGATGGATACAAACTGAGCAGCCATTGGAAGGACGTTATTAACCAGATAAAGTCATAACTGGCTGTGATGCTTCCATCCTACCTGCCGATGTTAACAGTTATATCCGACTCTCTGAGTTACATTACCTTGTTAAATGTCTTTACATTAACAGGCTAAATGTCTCACTAACATAGCCGCTACTTCCCTTTTCCTCGATGTGGTGTTGGCTCTCGTTGTTTAATAGGCTGAATGTGTCTCATTATCACAGCCGCTGCTGCGGGAGCCATCTCACATTGACATGCTAATCTCTAATCTGGAGCAATACAATGGCTTCTTCAGCACCGTAGTCGTAGGGTTACATTAACAGATTGACCTGATAATCTGTAGCAATATCAATGGGTGAGGTATATTCCTTGTAAATTCCACCTCTAGCCCCGCCCACTTACCCTTGTACCCATCTAAAACCTATATAACCTCTTGCTGCAGTAGTTCTCTCGCTATATTTCTCCTGCCTCAGCAGTTCGCCTGCTGTATTTTTTCACCTGAAGACGATTGCTTGTGTTGCGATCGAAACGTTGTGATAAAAAAAAAACCAATTATATCTACGTGACTTTACCGAAAGACCCAAAGAGTTATGGTAACAGACTTGTTCACTTCAGAGTGAAACGCCGCTCCTGCTTAGTGTCCATGTCTGACAATTATGCCTCATTGACGTCGAATGTCTCTGGATTATTCACACGTTGCTGCTGGTGGCTGGCTGATGCCACTGCGTTGGTCCAACGCTCCTCTCAATATCTCTCCCGTTTCTTTCTTTTGTCCAAAAGCAAGCGACAGTGCTGGGCATTCATCCTCCTGTGCGTCGCACCACCGCATCTCATCCCACCACACCCGACTTCCAGTCGCACTGTGTAGGGGAAGCAGAAGCACTCCTGCCCCCCATTGGGGTGGGAGGTGGGGGGAGGGGAAGCATGGGAGGGGAGTGGGGATGGCGGAATGGGGGCAGCAGCAATGAGTGATGGAGAGAAACTCATGACGCGAGCACTTTGCAGGAGAGATTTTTGAAAGATGGGACATTTTGAAATTACAGCAATTGGAATAAACAATGCCGCACTCGCCCACTGCGCGTCTCAAAAAAATTGTCAAATTTCCGTGCAAGGGCACCGCAGGTAATTGTGCCCATCAAGCGTCCACGCGGCCCATAAAGTGTCCGCAAATTGATTGTGTTTTCCGAAAGAAGGTCTTTATATTCCCATACAAAGTCCCTCCACGGTAACTTGCTGGAGAGGGTGATGCGTGCGCTGCCGTTGAAAAATCCCAAGGTGCTCTGGAAACCCGCTCATATATAAATATGAACCCCCTCCCCCGACACAACTGCACAGGAGTCTGAGGGCTGTCGAGTTAGTTATCATATCGAATCCCGGCATTGCTTCAACTCAGTCTCTGGTCTTCAATAGCTTTAAAAGCCCGGCCACTATGCGGCCCTTACACCGCCACTGCCGCCAACACCTTGGGAATGAGCAACGGTGGAAGGAAGCGAGGGAAGGAGAAGCATGTGGGGGTCGAAACGCCGAGCAGTGAGCAAGGCTCGGGCAGCCGTGAGAGCGCTTACCTTGCTCGCGCAGCAGGAGGGCTGCGGGTAGGTGAGAGAAGTGAACACAAACACAACGTTAGCGAAACGACCCCCCCCCCCCACGTCACGTTCAAGCACTGCTGCCCTTTTTGATCACAGCGCCGCCTGTGACAGGTTGACGCCGGATAGTGAGACCCCCACAGTGCTGACGTAGAATTGCGGCCAGGGCCATCAAACGTTTTTGGAGGCCCTGGAGGAAAATTCCAGATGAGGCCGCATCCGATGGGCCATTTCCCAAAACGTCCTTGATATATATATATTTTTTGAGGCCACAGTGTTGTTGACTATTGCATGTTCTGAGCCCCCCTTGCCCTCTGCCCTTCCCCCGTCGTGCTGCTCTGTCTAATCCTCAGCGCAGAGTGGATAAAACACAGGTGGAGTTTTCAGATGCCGCTTTCTTCCTCACGTGACCTCAAACCCGGACACCTCCTTCCCCGGTCAATTTGCCATATATTACGGAAAACATTTTCTAAAAGTGAGATTTGTTTATACGGACAAATGCAAACGTGCGGTAAAGCGTGGTAATGAATTGTCAATGTCCACAACAAGGCCAGGGTGTTTGCGTTGAGTGCGACGCGTAAACGTGGGATGGAAAATCTGCAGAACTGCGCCAGCGTATGGCTGCAAAATGCAAGCCCATGACCAACACCACTTGCACCGCAAGAGGCTCTCTACGGACCCAACCTACCCACGATTACCTTTTCCACTGCCCTGGCATCAGCTGCCCCTTTGCAGCACTGCCGTAGCCAGAAATGTTGTAACCCAGAGCAAGGTGCCAGCCTTGTGCTGCCGCCCTCCCACTGTTTTTCTGTGATGCTGGCGCCATTACAACCAACAGTAATTTGAGCCACCAGATGCCACTGCTTGTTTCGTTTCCAATAATTCAGCTACACGCTCGGGCAGCCTCGCTGATGAATCGCCCACAATAACGACAGAGAGCTCTCGGGCAGCTGCTGAGCATCATGGGCGGAGCAGGACAACGGAAGTGTAGATCGTGGGGCCACATGACCGGCGACTGACTTTATCTGCCCATAAAAAGAGGGGGCATGCGAGCCTCACCGCTCAAGGCGAATCGTGGCCCTCGCGCGCCGCTCTCGGCAAACAGAGAGGAGCTCTCGGGCGACGAACATTCCTTTTGCCGCGGTGTTCAATGAAAAATTAAGTATCACAACTCGGGATTGTTTTAGGCGACGAAAGTTACCGCAATTAGCCGTGGAGATTTGAAAGCATTCATTAAAATCGAATGCCACGTCGAGGTTGCTCTCCGGGCCTCGTTAAGCTCTGGGTTTTGATACGCGTTCTCCATTGATCCGATGCGAGCGAGCTACGCCACTCAGAAAATCTGATGACAAGGTCGTCGTCGTCGGTTCCAACATCGTTGTCGCTCGTTCCATTTTCGCAGCGTCTTTTGCACCGAATGCGTCTGGATGTGCAGAGAACTGGTCGCCTGTGGTTAGGCATCGCTCCTTGGAGGAGGGGTTGGCGAGAGGTTAATTTTCAAGCCCCATTCTGTGGTTATGGGTTCATCTGGTGGAGCTATCCCCGTGTGTCTATGTCGAGATCATTTGAAATTGATGTGCCTGGTCCTGTCTGATCTCAGGAGCTAAGCGGATGGATGATGGCGCTGCACGCTGGCACAGGCTGCTGCGGAGTGTGCATTGTGGGCAGCAGGGGGCAATGCGGGCAAAATTAACTCTCCTACTCCACTACTGCAGTCATTGGCCCTTGCTGACCAGCGTAGTGAAGTATGGTCAAACAACCCCCCTGACTGACTTGCATGGCAAGAGGAGGCCTCAATTCAGCCGCGGATTTATAAAAGGCTGTAAATGCACACATTCCTCCTGTAGGAGGTGTAGCTGACAGTGCTCTCCCTCGGGAGGGTTGTGGTCTGTAAGTGCTGTGCCTCCAGCACAAATATCCTTCTGTGCACCCTGCCGCGCGTATTATTTTTGCTGCCTTAAATCAAACGGAGCAATCTCCCCGACCTCCTGTGAAGAGGAGGCAAGGAGCTGAAAATGAGACTGCGTTTCACGCAGTCCTGCACACGCACCCTGCTGCACCGCGTGGAAAATGTAGCTGCCAGATTAACATTTCTTTGAAGACGGTGTTGGGCGACCGGAGGAAGGGTGGGAGTCGTGGTGGTGGTGGTCGCGGATGGTGCCGCCTGTGCGATGGCTGGCTCGGCGAGAGCGAGGGCCGACCACCAAACTGACCCAGGGATTCGCCACTGCCGGCCAAATAAGTGCGGGAAGAGGCGTCGGTTTGGCCCGCGTAGCGAGCGAGCCGGCCACTGCATGATCCACCTCCGCAATTTACAATCCGCTGACGAGGGCCGGGCTCGTGGCAGTCGTGGGGTCGGCCCACCTGCTGGTGCAGGATAGGAAGGCTTGCGGCCGTCCAGCGGCCTGGCCCGCGGGGACGTCGTGTCCGGGACACGCGGTACGATTGCGGGGAGGGGGGGGGTGATGAAAACAATTTTTTTTTTCTCGCGCTTGCCGATTTATCGTTTGAGCACGAAGAACATTTCAAGGCGTGATTACTTTAACTCGCGGAGCCCGGGAGAGAAAGGGTCGGAGGGGGTCAACGAGAGAAATGTTCTGGCGTGCGTGAGAGCGGCTCGGGAATTTCTGCTCGCGAGTGGCGAGGCCACGTCGGATCCGCACGCCGTTCCCATATACGGACTCTTCTCGCAATCGATGCCAGAAGCCGCCCGGCGGAGCGGAGGATCTTGCTTCGCCCGCGCCGCCCTCAGCTTACGGCCACCGGGTTCCTAATTTCCCCGGCAAGGTTGCGAATTCTCGCGACGAGAAGTAACGCACCGTTACCTTCTGACCCTGTAACGTAATCACTGCCGGCTGTTTCTTGCCTGCACGTTGAACTTGATCGCATTGCTCCGTCTTTCGCAGCGGTTGTCCTCCTGGGCGATCTTCCCCCCTTCTTTTTGACTGCCATTTTGTCACCGGGCTCCCTGCTCAACGTGAGCCGTGTCCTGGCCAAGTCCCGCTTTCTTCTCTTCACAGTCAATCTGCGGTCTCTGCTCTGCATTCCTTCTCCGGTCCAGGCGTGGTCCTCCTCTCATGTCTCGTATTGTCACTTCAGGCATGGATGTCCTCCGTTTCTTCTTTGCACGGCCTTCAGATTTTGTTTCATTGACTTTGCCCTCACCCGCATGCCTGACCATTCACTGCATCCGGAATCAATTTAACGAAAGGACACGAGCATATTTGTCCCTGGTCCCCGGGATATTTCCTAAAGGGGTGTATTCTCTATATATGTGTGCGTGTGTATATATGTACATTCCAATCTGTTTTCCAACGCTTTTAACTTGAATAAACAGCAATTACTTGAGAAGGGGGAAAAAAGGCAATTGAAAACTCAGCGGGCATCGAAAATGATGAATGCGGTGGCATTGTACATAGTCTGGCTCTTTTCACTCGTTTTAATCTCAGCTCGGCTGCCCGCGATCTCGCGTTGTGTTGGCGACGACTGCCGAGGCTGTGAGCCGAGCTCGCTCCGGGTGCTTGCGGGGAGCTGACAAGACGCCGGTTGCTCTGCCTGGGTAACGTCTCGCCGCAACCTTGTGTCGGTTCATCCGAGAAACTCTTCCACGACCCTTTTTACTTTAAGACTTTAAAGTGCGAATCCATCAAACTCAACGCATGAATCTGTAACAGTGGGGCATTTTAAAAAAAGAAACGTGTATTGTTCGCAGCATAAAGAGGGGCCAGAGATTTGAGGTGGATGATCAACGTCATCTCTCGTGCTTCTGTGTGCTGTGAAGACAAGCCATTGCCCCAAACATTTCCTATTACATACTTTTTATCTTTTAAGGTCACAGCAGTGTTATTGACGAATTAATTGGGATGCCTGAGCATTTACCTTTTTGATGATAGCTCCTGTTAGCTAACTATTTACAGTCAAAACCCGGCCATGAGAAAATATTTTCGAAATGTAATTCTCATCAGGCCCCACGGTGTAAACAAGTGCCATCACTAATCCTTATTATTCACCCTATCTCCCTGGCCTCTCCATTTATGTGCTCTGAAGAAGAAGTGCCGTGGCTGAAAAACATCGACTTTTATATATTTCTTCTTTTAAGGCCACACAAGAGTCACTGACGAAGGTGTTGAGATTTATTCGTGCACCACTGCCAACGGAGCAGCAGCAGCAGCAGCATCACCAAATACGTTGCTTAACTTGAAAAGTCCTACAACGCTCCACGCAGCTCACCAACACCATGGCCCTGATCTGTGTTGTTCCTGTCTAAGATCGGTATAAAATATTAAAACAAAAATGTTTATATTTCATAAATCAAAACTCCGTTGTGTTCCGAGATAATTAGCGAGTGCACGGTGGGGCGCCGGCGTGAGCGTGCATCATCACAGTTGCTGAGCACAGGCTCAAAGACCCAAAGCGCCAAGCAGCCTGCAACAAACGACATTATTCAAGTGGTAAACGATGACTGTGAATACGGATGTTTTAAATTGAGCAGGGTGTTTTATTACCGTTAAGAGAGCTTTGGAAAAGAGATGGTGTGGGGAGAGGATGTCAGCAGGGTCATAAAAGAAGCAGACATAGATGTATTGTGACTTGCCGTGTGGTGAGTGGGTGAGTGAGTGTGTTGTTGTGACCTGCAGTGTGGTGAGTGGGTGGGTGAGTGTGTTGTTGTGACCTGCAGTGTGGTGAGTGGGTGAGTGAGTGGGTGAGTGAGTGTTGCTGTGACCTGCAGTGTGGTGAGTGGGTGGGTGAGTGTGTTGCTGTGACCTGCAGTGTGGTGAGTGGGTGAGTGAGTGAGTGTGTTGCTGTGACCTGCAGTGTGGTGAGTGGGTGAGTGAGCGAGTGTGTTGCTGTGACCTGCAGTGTGGTGAGTGGGTGGGTGGGTGAGTGTGTTGCTGTGACCTGCAGTGTGGTGAGTGGGTGGGTGGGTGAGTGTGTTGCTGTGACCTGCAGTGAGGTGAGTGGGTGAGTGAGTGAGTGTGTTGCTGTGACCTGCAGTGTGGTGAGTGGGTGAGTGAGCGAGTGTGTTGCTGTGACCTGCAGTGTGGTGAGTGGGTGGGTGGGTGAGTGTGTTGCTGTGACCTGCAGTGTGGTGAGTGAGTGGGTGAGTGAGTGAGTGTGTTGCTGTGACCTGCAGTGTGGTGAGTGGGTGAGTGAGTGAGTGTGTTGCTGTGACCTGCAGTGTGGTGAGTGGGTGAGTGAGCGTGTTGCTGTGACCTGCAGTGTGGTGAGTGGGTGAGTGAGTGTGTTGTTGTGACCTGCAGTGTGGTGAGTGGGTGGGTGAGTGTGTTGTTGTGACCTGCAGTGTGGTGAGTGGGTGAGTGAGTGGGTGAGTGAGTGTTGCTGTGACCTGCAGTGTGGTGAGTGGGTGGGTGAGTGGGTGAGTGAGTGTTGCTGTGACCTGCAGTGAGGTGAGTGGGTGAGTGAGCGAGTGTGTTGCTGTGACCTGCAGTGTGGTGAGTGGGTGTGTGAGTGAGTGGGTTGCTGTGACCTGCAGTGTGGTGAGTGGGTGAGTGAGTGAGTTGCTGTGACCTGCAGTGTGGTGAGTGGGTGAGTGAGTGAGTGTGTTGCTGTGACCTGCAGTGTGGTGAGTGGGTGGGTGAGTGTGTTGCTGTGACCTGCAGTGTGGTGAGTGGGTGAGTGAGCGAGTGTGTTGCTGTGACCTGCAGTGTGGTGAGTGGGTGAGTGAGTGAGTTGCTGTGACCTGCAGTGTGGTGAGTGGGTGAGTGAGTGAGTGTGTTGCTGTGACCTGCAGTGTCGTGAGTGAGTGGGTGGGTGAGTGTGTTGCTGTGACCTGCAGTGTGGTGAGTAGGTGAGTGAGTGTGTGTGTTGCTGTGACCTGCAGTGTGGTGAGTGAGTGGGTGAGTGAGCGAGTGTGTTGCTGTGACCTGCCGTGTGGTGAGTGGGTGAGAGAGTGAGTGTGTTACTGTGACCTGCAGTGTGGTGAGTGAGTGGGTGAGTGTGATGCTGTGACCTGCAGTGTGGTGAGTGAGTGAGTGTGTTGCTGTGACCTGCTGTGTGGTGAGTGGGTGAGTGAGTGAGTGTGTTGCTGTGACCTGCAGTGTGGTGAGTGGGTGAGAGAGTGAGTTGCTGTGACCTGCAGTGTGGTGAGTGAGTGAGTGTGTTACTGTGACCTGCAGTGTGGTGAGTGAGTGGGTGAGTGTGTTGCTGTGACCTACAGTGTGGGGAGTAGGTGGGTGAGTGAGTGTGTTACTGTGACCTGCTGTGTGGTGAGTGAGTGGGTGGGTGAGTGTGTTGCTGTGACCTGCAGTGTGGTGAGTAGGTGAGTGAGTGTGTGTGTTGCTGTGACCTGCAGTGTGGTGAGTGAGTGGGTGAGTGAGTGAGTGTGTTGCTGTGACCTGCTGTGTGGTGAGTGGGTGAGTGAGTGAGTGTGTTGCTGTGACCTGCAGTGAGGTGAGTGGGTGAGTGAGCGAGTTGCTGTGACCTGCAGTGTGGTGAGTGGGTGAGTGAGTGAGTGTGTTGCTGTGACCTGCTGTGTGATGCTTGAACACGGCGTGGATGAGACTAAACACACGGGGTAAACCGAGCACTCAACGTGGGAGGGGAAATCGAGGAGTGAAGCTCATGGGAGCAGGCACCGTGGCACTCGCGACAGAAGAGCGATATGGGTGCACGTTTGCGCGTTTCCGTTTGTACGGTCGAGCCGCGACTTCCCCTCGCACGGCGCCGCAGCCCGCGGCGACACAAGACAAAGAACTTGGAAAAGGCACAAAGATTACCATTATCCGTCACCGCAAGAATCTTGGACGCACTCATCGAGCTCTAGAGGGAGGTGGTGGGGCGTGTTTCGCTTTTAGAAAACGCAGCGAGCTATCGCCTAACGCCAAGCTGTGCGTGAATGCACGCTTGTCTGCCAAAATGTGTTTTGGAAGTCCAGGTTTGGGCGCCGTCACGATGGGAGCTCTCTCGCTCGCTCACCAGTTGGGTCCGCCGGCGCAGCGCGGCCTGCGTCTCGTACCTTTCCTCTCGCTCATGTCCATGAGGCGTGGCTCGCCCAGCTCCAGGAAGAAGTTCTTGTTCTTCTCGTACTCCTCGTCGTCGATGACCCGGATCTCGATCGTCTTCCTGAAACGGAACGAGGGGTGGCACGGCGTGAGAGAGGCTGAGGTCGCGCTCATCGCCAAATAAAACTTGCTCCTGATGTAGGTCTCCTCCCCAGCGTATTGCTCTACCACGCCGGTCAGCACATGTTGGTGAAGGGGTGGGGGGTGCCCAGGGTGCTGTTCTTAATTTTCGGGGTCACAGTCCACCTAGAATCTCCATTGCCCCGGGGAGGCTCTGTAGGTGATTGCTGCAGCCAAAACTCGCGATCAAAACTCGCAAAAACCGTCAATGCTTGAAATTCCGGTCGCGAATTACACGGCACTCGCTTTCTCGACGCAATCCACGCACTCTCTGATGCTCGCCCGTCACGGCGACGCGCACGCGCTAGCGTCCGGCGTGGTTAATGTTCATGCGGGACGGGCTTCTAGAAATTCTCCCAGCCCCATTCTGGAATGTTTTAATGCTCCTAGAGGTCCGCGCTTGAAGGCAGTGCAGCCCACCACTCACGGTCACCAGAGGTCATAGTTAATGGTAATTTGATTTCATTGGATTTAAAATAAAGCAATGTGGGAGATCGAAATTCAGGTCAGGGCATTTTTAATCTTTAACGGTTTGATGAAATCAGTCAGTGTGCTGGTGCTGCGTGGATTGTTACATCGCAGCATCGTGAGAGGTGGTGATGGCTTTGGGAGGGAGGCCTCCATCTGGCAGTGGATTGACCATGGATGACGATAACGGTGATTAAAACAAATGTTGGCTTTCTAGGTGTGCACGAATCGTGTCGCAGGGGCCACATGTCCCACCGTATTTATTGTGCAATGAACACACGGCCTGCAGCGGCTAACGAGCATCAATATACGACGAACATCCATCGGAGTTTTTCCAAATGCAATCGCGCCGTTGGCTGCGTGTGGATGTGTGCACAGCGATGATTTAGTGCCACCGCGCCGCGTCTCTGGCTGCCAAGCACAAGGCCAACGGCTCTTTCAAAAACACAATCGGTGCTGGACAAAGGCTGCCGTCTTCCCCATGCCCGCCAGACGCCGCTCAAAAGATATTTCGTGCTGCTTGGTCTGGCCGTGCAACTGGGCAGTACCGCTCGCGATGCCACTTATGGGCAATTTTCTGGTGAATCCACGCCGTTGGGAGATCATTTTGTCACCTGCTGCATCACAGCGAGCGGCAATCGCACGACCGCGAGTCCATACCACCGCACAATAAACTCATGGTTACACAACCCGTGGGTGCGCAAATCCACGGCCACACCAACCCAAGGGCACGTAAACGTCGGGGAGCATAAACGCAAGGGGAACACAAACGCAGAGGCGCACAAACCCACGGACGCACGGGCAGGATGAATTGGAGCGGGTATTTTTTTGTGAGAGTGACTCCAGGCTGCTTGTAGCGGGGAGAGCGGTTTGTTTATTTATATCCGTGTATACGATGTGTGTCCCAGTGGTGTCATTGCACAGGCGTCTCTGGAAAATAGCGACACCGCGTCCATTTTCGCCGGAGTTGAGCGACGGTGGTCGGACCATCTCATCCCCCCCCCCCCCCCGCGGCGCGCGGATGATTAGAGCCACGGGGCCAGTGCCATGCCGCCGTAGCCCAAGGAGCAGCTACAAACTCCCAGTAGAATTTACACGTTTGTGGCGTCTGATGGCGTGACGTGGAGTGGACTATTCCCTGCAAGCTCGTGATGGTGAGGGGGAGATCCGGCTAATTAACCCCCCCCCCCCCCCCCCCACTTTGCCTCTGGCCATGGTACGGTCCGGTTCGCTCCGTTAGGCAATTCTTTGCACGGGCAGCGCTTGTTTGTTATCTGTTTATTGTGTGCATTTTTCAAATTATTTTCTTAAGCGCGACGACATTTATTTGCTAATCTTGAAATAAATTCAAATAGCACGTCACCGTTCAAAGAAACGCGTAGCGCAGAGACATTTCACACGGTTGCGTTTTTTACGTCGGTATTTTTAGCAGTACGCAATTGTTTGCTGTGCAAAGATAACAAACCACTCTCGTCGAGATAATGTGACTCATCGTGCAATTTCGTTTTGTAACGTTCATCTGGTTATTTCTCCAATCCCTTTATTTAGAGGAGGGTTCGGTGGGGTCACGTGGCCTAGCGACCCGAGCGAGGCCCTCACAATGGAATCATGAACCTTTACCGCAAACGACGAGGATGGAGATTTCCTGGCGCCGCCTTTTATTGTGCCCTTGACACAAAGGCAAGGGTTATGAATTTTTCATTCTCGTTTTTTTTCATTCCCCTCTCTTCCCTCCCTTTCTCTCTCCCCCCTCCGTTTCTCACCAACCGAAACGGAAACTGTACCTGCCACTGATCTCTCCATTCTCGTCCCACGCACCTCCTCCGTGGCGACCCTCCCACAACGGCGTGCGCGCGGAGACCCGACGACGTGCAGAACAACGCGGCGTGACCGGAGAACCACGATCGGCTCGCGCGCGGCCGCCCACGGTCAATTTTACCCACAAGCACCGCGGCACAAATTCCGATTTTTGTTTGGGAGATCAGAGATCCAGAGTCGCACGAAGCCCGGCGCCAGGGACGTGCTTACACAAAGCAGTACTCTCACAGGCAAGTGGGGTTGCCAGGTGTTGTAGGCGCGAGGTTGGGAGGTGGAGGCTAGGAGATGGCACCGCGGAGTGACGCACATCGGTCAGTCCGTGTGTGTGTCTGTGTGTGTGTCTGTATGTGTGTGTGTGTCTGTGTGTGTGTGTGTGTCAGGGGGAGCGGCAGTGTAGTGACCAGCTCCGGTTTGACAGCAGAGGTCTCACTCCGAATCAGTCGGGTGACATTATCGTCTGCGCAATGCTGTGTGGAAGCTACCCGGTCTGTCGCTCCGCACGAAGCTTCTGTTCTTCTCGGCCAGTCATGCCCTCCCTTCTCTATGCTTGTGATACGGGGATCCCTCTAATGCAACATCTGCGCCGGTTAGAAACATTCAGGCTGGCATGGGTTTAACCAGGCTGGATTGTGTGAGGAGCTCACACATCCTTGAACGATCTGGACACATTCCCATCAGTGAGCTCTGACAGGCAAGGCTGCGTTGGCTGGGTCATGTAGCCCGCATTTCCAGCCATCGCGTGACCGAGCAGCTTCTGTTTTGGCCGCATAGAAGGGGCTAAACGGGCACGACATGGGCTGGAGAAGAGATGGACTGATGCGGTACAGGAGGATGTGGAGCTGAGTGGACTCTCTGACAACTGGTACCAGCGGCGTTCGGATCGGCCTCTATGGAGGAGGCTCCTGAAGGACGCTACTGGGCAGTTGGAGGCAGTCGCTCTCCCGTAACAACGGAGGGCGGAGGAGTGACACAACAACGAATGGAGCACCGGGCGGCTAAAATACAGCAAGTTTCCACATAAGAGGGTACAGCTGGGTGCATCTACAGTCATCTCAGTCAACCAACCCACTTGTCAGCGAGCCTTTGACACGTCACATGGCCTCAAAGTGCACCTGGCTTGGCACAGGCGCCTTGGTGACATCACCGTCACTTACTGGCGAATGGCGGGTGTTGGTGTTGGATTGGTAGTGTAGCGGTTAGCGCACTGCACTACGAACCTGGCGGCCTTAGTTCGATTTTCGCTCACGGGCAACATCAGTGACGATTATCCGAACTGGTCCTGGGCCTCAAATGAGTACCTGGTGCGGTGTGTTAAAATATCGCCACTAGGGAGATAAAGGCGGATGGGCGTGGAGCTGGCCAACCACCCCCTCGTGTGCCGCTAACAGCACATGCCCTAACAGTCTGTTAAGGTGATATGGGAGATATTTGGCTTGTGTTTGGATACTCTGGAGGAAAACGTTACCGTAGATCATCTGATGCGTTTGCTGTAGCTGCCTCCAATATGGCTGCAAAAGCCATTAATTCCCCCTATCTCGTTGCATCTGTAAAGCTAAGCGGGTTGAGCCTGGCTATCATTTGAATGTGCAATCACCTACCAGAGATTTCCAGATGTTGTAGGCGTGCGTATGCGATGACTTCACACCCCCCATTTAAGACAGGACCTTTTCACAGTGCTGGCTACTGCCTGATGGTGCTGGTAATAACTATCAGCGAAACCTCATACCCATTGCTCGCCAATACTGCTGGTGGTACTGCTGAAGCAGTAATAGATTGGCGCGTTTGGGTGGAGGAGGGCTTACGACACAGTTTGCTCACGTGGCGATCTGACCCAAAAATCAATGACGACGGACTTTTGCGTGAAAATGCATATGCCAAGAGCGCGTGTCGTTCGAGAGGCGCGGCGCTCATAATGAGAGCGTGTGGCCGTGCGTGGCTTGGGGCCACGCAGCACGATGTGGCACGCCAGCCTTCCCAGTGAGCCAGGTCCGCGCGTCTCTTCCAATCGAGCGGCCTCTGAAATTGGCCGCTGTGATGAGGCTAATAACATCATTGGTGCCTTGCCAGAGGGAGGATAATTCGCCCCTTATCTGCATCGCAGGACAATGTCAAGAGAGAGGGCCGATCCATACAACGTAATTTATTGAGAATATTCAGAAGAGAATATTAATTGAATGTGGGTAAACAACGGTGCCGAACGCAAGCAGCTGCGACAATATTATACATCCCGGGTAAAAACCGCCAGTGCTGGAGCGGAGAAATTCAAATTTTAAATGTTTAATGAGCAGAAAAATTCTACGCACTTTTCAGCGAACGCCACTGACGGCAGCGCCCGCGATAAATGCACGCAGGGTAACGGCACTTAGGCGAGAGCGCCAGAGTAATGCCTCGTAAGTGGATTCGGTTTAGCTCCGGCTGGGGGTTAGGACGGGCGGCGTCAGGAATCTCGGCGGAGTTGGGAGTGCAGGTGGCGGGGCCGGCGGGACGCGCGTGCCGCGGTGGTTGTCCCCCCAATGCTGACAGAAAGCAGAAAGCCACGCAGGTCGTGCAACAACCGCCGCACTTTCGCCAGGCAGACGAGCAGGTCGCGTGGAAACATTACACCCCCGCAGCAGAGAGGCGGGCAAATCACGCACGGAGCGCAGGGGAGTTTTT